CAAATAATTTCTTACAAAATCTACCTATTCCTATATTATTACAAAGTTAATACATTATTATATTGTATGATAGGTTATATCTAAGCTAATGGGAAAGTTGCAATGCTGTTAGAGTGCGAGCAAGGTCCATCAGTGTCCTGAAGATAATATCCTGTAAAATAATAGGACCAGTCATAACTGGGCATTAACTCGTTAATCCGTTAATCGTTAATTAACGAAGTTAACATTTTGAATAACGGATTAACTTTTAAGTTAAACTTTTAAAAAAGTTAACGGACACGTTAACTTCCGTTAATAATGCAGAAGTCCGTTAATCGTTAAAAAAGTGCATGGGAAAAAGGTAGGAGATGCTTTACGACAAGAAGCAGTGGAAAATTCGAAGGACAGAGATAGTTTAATTGGCGGAGGAAACAATGAGAGTAACAACTATGATGACGAGGAAGACTTTTTCAATTCTGTCACTCAGTCTATAGAAAAACCAAAGAGCTCCTGCTCCTCAAAGAGTAAAGCGCAAAGTCTTGTTAAAATGTGGCTGGACATGAAATCAACAAGACATGAAATGAAGACTCATTCAACGATGCTGCATTCCTCGGCGAACAGATATTCATAAATCTATTCATCAAATATTATAAACTCAAGCGCTGCAGTTGAACGTCTGTTTCCATGAGAATAGAATGTCTTTAACACTAACACCAAAACGAATGTCAGACGAGAACTTCGAACTTGATATAAAAATGCGACGATTTTACAGAATTATACAAGTATATTAACCAACAGGTTTTATAAGTTCACTAATGTAACGATATAAAAATGCAATTTTACAGATATTAACGGATTAACGATTAACGTTAACTTGCGTTAATTCTTCTGAAATGTAACGCTTTAACATTTAACGAAACTAACTTTTTTATTAGATTATCGATTAATGGAAAATTAACGCTTCAATGTAAGTTTATTTGAATAAATGATTTCTATTTAACTATTTGATTAACGGTGCCCAGCTTTGGGACCAGAGTTAAAAGACGTTAAAAGGTTATCCCACATTTGTCCTTTATTAACATAGGTTAATTAATTGTTACTAAGAAATTGATCGATGGTATCTGATAATAAATAAATTATTATTATACCAAATGTAATTATTTTACAAATTAACTTTAAAACTATTTTCAATAAAGTAAATGAACGTTAAGGTTAGTATTGCATAGTTATATCTCTAGTAACAGGCGCTACATATTGGCAGCGTAATAAATTACATTGTAGAAATATCATCATTAAGAAATATTACGAGAATTGCCTAATTAAATAGTCCGTGTGAGTGTGCCTTTCCAACCTTTTAATATCACACATGGGCGGAAATATCGGTGTTTTTACGACGTTGTTCCGGTTAGAGGGTGGTCCTCATACATAAGCCCGGAGAACATGGACGCTATTTCCTCGTTTAAAAAAGGAAGTAACGTTTAACTGATTTTTCAAATTACGAGTAGAATCTATGGGATGAAGATATAATTTATATTTGACAAATAATTAATAAAAAATACAGCAATGGTCGTAATTTCAACATTTTGGTCAATTAGTTTAGTTTATTATTACTTAGCAATTGATTTACTGTTTTAATAATATTCTACCATAATTACATTAAATAATTAATTCTGAGATAAAGATGAGATAGATTCATCTATTTATAAATGACTTGTGTTTATATCGGTATTAGAGACGCGCTCTAAAATACAATTTTAACGAGTAAGAGGGTGTGGTCATATTATTATGTAATATTATGTTATCTGTGATATTATCATCCAAGACTGGTGCCCGCCAAAGTATACTGTTAGCCAAGGGGAGTGCACCATTCCACTAAAACAAAACCAATAAGTTGGACACGTTTATCTTTTTTAATGTCTCACAAAAACTGATTAAAATTTAAAAACCAAATATTTGGATCACACACTTTTATATACACTTGGGATAGGATAGATTTGATGACCAATAAAAATATTTTTATTGGAGTTTCAACACTTTGCTGTCCAGCATCCAAATTAAACTTAGATAGAAGTTTGTGACATTTAAAAAATGGTTTAATGCTATCAAAACGTGGGTTTCGTTCTCAAAGCCTCGAGACCTTTTATGCAAATCTTAAAGGATGTGCTGGGGTTTTTAATGAAACTGCGCAATTACTTTGATGAATACTGCATTCGTGACGTAGCGACCCTTAGTATAAAATGTGGTAAGGTTAAATTAAATGTCAGGTGTATTGATTTCAATTATGCTTTAGATATAACCAACCCGCCCTGGCTTTGCACGAGTATTCAAATTAATTTACAAAATCTTAACGATAAATACACCTAACTCTTTCGGAAATAGAATTAGATTTTATATATGAAAATCACATGAAATTCCGGTTATGGTATTATCGCGAAAATATGGATAAATGGAGCGCGGTAATTTGTACAATATTTTTTTTTGTAAGTCTTCATCATCTCAGGGGAGTGTTATTAAAGGAAAGTGATAACGTAATGTGTGTATACTTTTATAGATGAAAATCAAAGCTTTGATTAAGGATTAGTAGAAATTACAATGTTATGACTAAAATTCTAAACTTGATTTATGAATCCATCCAACCATTACTGCAATAACATATGTAACAATTACTCTCACTTATTTTTTAATTTACCATTCATTTTGTAAGCTGAGACAGCTTTCAAAATGATGACAAAAAATAAGTGATGACTACTCAATAATGTAAGTTTACTTTAATAAAGAATTTTTTATTCTATTCTAGTACTTATAAATACTTAATTGTAATATTTATAGGCAATAAGAATTAATATAATTCAAGCGTGATCTGAAGGTATATTTGAGTTCATATTATTAATATTATAAATATGAAAATGCGTTTGTCTGTCTGTTTGCCTTTTCACGACTAAACGGCTCGTCGGTTCTTAATAAGACATTGACATAGATTATAACACGAGGACAGATACAAGATATTGTTTTCTCAAAACAGCAGATAAATCTGAAACTGCCAGATATAATACAATTTAAGTACTAATTATATATAATTGCAATGAATTCCAAATTTAAAAACTAATTTAAATCTATAATTCAAACAGTATATTTGTACTTGACACTCAGTTCAAATGTTAAAAATACAGTGTCTACGCCATGTAATATAAAAAGTAGACAAAACTCCCTGACGCAGCTGGAATTTTAATCAATTTTGCGGCCGATATCTGGGGAAGAGGGACCAACGAGCCGGTTCACAAATTACCGCCTTAAAGCATCCTCTTGGACTATATTCATCAGGATAATACTCTTAAATTAAAAAATGGCGTTTTGTCACACTGCGTCGCATTAGGCAGAGTCATGAATTATTCAGAGAGCATCGTGGCCTAGTAGTTTACTATCCTGACTTAGATCCTAAAGATCGTTAGTTCGTATCCTGTGGCACTAAAATACTTTTTTTGATTTTATATTTATTTCTTTTTATTCTTACATATCTTTACACTTTTATCATAATGTGATAATGCCAGTCCCATCGTATCTTATTACTAATCTTATCTTCTACTGTACAATGAAAACAAAATTTTTGTTGGAGATGATACAGAACCAGATAGTACCTATACTGTATTTTTATGTATGGAAACTTAATGAACTTAATTCTTTCGTCTTTAGCGATAATTTTTTATACTTCGTTCGGAAGTCTTCTTCTTCTTCTTTAATACACTTGTATTAGAGCAAGATCTACATAATATACTAAATTACTTTGTGTGTTCTTCCTGACTTTACCCGGTGATGGAAACACTGATGACAAACTAAATCAATGTGAGAGATGGCGGTGGGTAAAAATGTTAATATCCAACAATGTAGTCGCCTTCTACCTTGCTGAATACTAATATTTTTACCCAACGAAATGGGCATGTCAAGTGACTTTTTGACAATTGACAATGCCTCTTATTACCTAGTCCAGGATTATATTTGTGAATGTGTATAAATAATTGTAAATCTATAATAGTAATCAAATAGTTTAATCAACGACATCAGGAAGCATTGAAGATGCAGTTGACAGCCCTTTTCATTGTATCCGAAATTTCTGTTAGGCCATGCTCCTGCTATTTCTTTTGTGTCCGTGTAAAAAGAATTGGCAAAAAGAAGAATCAGTATTGTGAAGTCAAAGCCGTTTGTGGCTAGACGCCCTCGGCTACCAGTATAATGACTTTGCGAGTATTTTGACGGAACTTTATTACGGTTAGTACGAGTACCTAGCTACTTAGCAGGCAATTAAGAAAGCCTCTAGTATTTTTCTTGGTGGACGTGATAATTAGTTTCTTTAATAATTTGAGAAGACGTCTAAGGGAGGTTTTCTTTTTGCGTTAATTAAAAAATAAACTTAAGTTATATTCAAGATGGTGGTTTCTCAGTTGGTTAAGTATTATTTTTTCCACTTTACAGTTTTGATTCTGTTTATAAATTATAAATTCACAACACAATTTAGATTTTGTTGTAACTCCTTTTCAGAATGTATGTAGTAGTAGTAGTTTCAGAAGTAACTTCGTTTCAAACATATTAGTATCTATACTTAACAGTATAAGAAAATAAATCCTAATATGTTTAAGTATTACGTTGCGGAGATATCATTAATTACTTTATTGTCTTTAATTATATTCTGTTTTTTTGATATTACATTGAACCTAATCAGAAATAACACATTGAGATTTACGTTTCATAACATTGTATGTGCTAAGGTGTCATACATATAGAAGTATGTATTTTCCCAGTATATTATTTTTAAATAATAAATATTTAACTATGGAACACTCTAGATCTCATATATCAAATTAAATATATTGTAGATAGATATAATAAAATAAAATTTAATACCCACATCCACCAGAACGGAGTACCAAAATTTATTAGTAAGAATACTGTTACGATGGACATACGTAGAAATGTTTATTTATCTGTGTACTTAGTAAGTGAATTAACAAGACCTTTCATTGTTTCAGATAATATTAAAAAGAAAATAACCGCGAAAGTTGTGCAATTCATTATTCATAAAGCAAGACAACCGGTGCACACTAAAGTATCAACGTGGAAATAGTTTCATTTCCATTCGGTCTGTAAGTGGTCATAGTAACGAGTGGCAGGTGTCACGGATTGCGGGAACATGAGGCGGGACGGTGGGGGAGGATAGCATGACAGCGCCTGCCACGGCGGCCTGATGGCGCTAGTGCGCCGTATACTAGGCGACGCCCAGGTAACGGTTTCAGTCACATCTTATATACATGCAGGATATATTAGCACTAATAACATTAACATCAGGGTTGCCAATCTTACGACATTTTGTACAAGTAAAATTTCAGTATATTGGTTTAATTATCTTTAGATGGTCATATTTAAACCAAGGGTGGTCAAATAAGCAACAAACTTACTAGTGGTACTTTTACGATTATTTTCACATTACTGCCTAAAAGATGCACAAAAATCGAAACTTAATGGAATTTTGAATTTTGTATTATTTTAATAATACATAATTCTACATTCGCCGGTCATTATACAGTGTACCTCGTATCGTAGATCAAAAATCTACTAACTTTTACCAAGATTCTCATAAGGTTGACAACCCTGATTAATAGACGTTACTTAGTAGTAGACGTTGACAGGTAAAATAAATTATTTTGACTAATGTAAAATTAGTACACATTAATTTTTTCGTACTATTCAATTCTGATGTGCTTTTTAAAACGATAACACCCTATCATACATTTTCTATACAATTTATAATATTGTATTGAAATCCGCTCTAGTTGTGAGATCATAACATTAAATGTGTGGAACTAACCAACAAGTATATAGCCACATTGTGACACTTGTTTCCTCTCTCGACGAGCCATCATCAGACGGTTAATCGATTGGAGCTTGAAAGGCTAGTGTCGACCACTGGACTGCACGCCAATCAGTTAACACTAATGGAATGACCTGGATATTTACGATTTAATGGACAATAAAGCTGTTATTATTAGTAGTACTCTCCCTATTTTTCTTTAAATATGGCAACTATAATCACGGTTCACGAAAAATGAAAAAGAAATTTAGCTAGCATCATATACAGATATAAACTAGAACAGAACTACAAGTGTAATGGAATAGTACCGCTCGAGGCATTATTTCTCCAGAGGGATTGAGGACAGCCTCAGCTGGTATTCCTATTATTTCTGAATCTCACATTAAATCAGTCAACACAAAGAAATATTCCAATTCGTTTATACCGATGTAGATCCAAAATTCACGAGCCACAAGACGAATATCTGGACATCTGATCCCAAACCGATAAGGCTATAAACCCAATACCGTAAATCGCAAGCTGTCCGTATTATCATTAATTACAAAGTTAGGAGGGAAGGGGATCGGTCTCCCCTAAAATGTGGCGATTAAAACGACTATTAAATCAAATGGTTGCAGGTGAATTAACAAAATATGCCACTGGTTAAACTAATGTGACCATTAGCCATTGTCGATTTGGAAACCCCCCTAATATGATTGAATAATAACAATTCATAAAATACGAAGATAATCAATTTACGAGCATAAGTATAATACAATTTAATAAAAATGGTACAGTTACAATAAAATAAAGCTTGTCCATCTTAATTTGATGTGACTGTAATATGTGATATCTTCGACATTTGTAAACAGATTTTGTAAAAAGAATGTGTTTTCGGTATGTTTAGATTTAATTTTCATTTTGTACATGAAATATTATTTAAAATAGCACTTATTAGAACGTAATATGATTAAAAATGTAACTTTTAATTGACGTTTGTATGTGATAGGCGAAACTACGTAAGATGGTTGATGAGCAAGTGTCGGTGGGCGCACGGGTCGAAGCGGATGCTGAACCCGAGCCCGCCGACCCTCTCATCACGCCAGCCAGCTCCGCCCTCGAAAGAACCGACTTGGACCCTAGACCAATTCCTCCAGAACGACGACTCCTTATTGGTACTCTAGATAAACGTAATGGATCTTTAAACGGCGATAAAGATGGAACTATAAACAGAACTACCAGACTTTCTATTAGAAATGGAAAAGATAATCCTTTCTTAGGTACGTATGTAAATTACTATGTTATTAAACTACTATAATAGTAGAGTAAAAATGTATTAATATTGATTTTGAAATCCATTAATTTAGTATGTAAGGTATTATGATTCCTGATTATTTGTGGTTTCATGGCAACATTTAGTATTTTTGCTTAATAGATGATGTTGATTCTATTTGGTGTAAAAAGATATTTTTTAAAGTTTAATTTTAAAGCAGAATACTCATACATATGTGAAAATTACAATGGCATAACTAACATGTTTACTTATTAGTTAATTTATTTTTTTATTATATAAATGATTTTCCTAGTCCTCTTCTAAAATAGACTAGTGTGTCTTTAGTTATTAAATATGATACGATCATATGTTAGATTTTCTACGTGCTAACAAGTAACTAAATACTTTATATATGTATATAAACAAAATATATGTCTATTGCAAGTAAATTACTAATGAAAATGTTGCATTTATTTCAAGAGCTGTCTCTTTACTGTTATGCTCTTTAATTAAGAGGATGTTCTTAATTTATTGTCTAAATAAACTTTCTTAATTAGAAATGCATAGTTTACATACTGACTCGACGTTCAGGGTAATGAAAATACGAGTGTGACATTTTGAACAGTCTGATTTACTGCCAAGTAATTTTAGTTTATTACGCCGTGTGCTAAAGAGATAAGAACATACTATATCACCAATTAAGGAAAGGGAAAATTGAATAGAAAACAATAAAAAGATATGAAACCAATATTTGTCAAAACTAGATAAATAAATAAGTAAATAACCAAGTAGCAGCAGTTTAGTAAACTAAATGTTTATATTGTGAGGAGAGACTGGTGCCTCTCAATGCGACAATGACACGATTATAATACAACTTAAGTATACTAATCATAAAATATATATTAATACAAGCAATTTAACATTTTTAATACATATATCATATCCTTTTATATATATCTAACATGCTCAGACTCAGATACTGAACATCGTCATAAGTTGAACATACTCGTACATATGTATGTATGTTTAAATGAATATGCTGTCATTTCATTAAATTATCGACTATTTTATGAATTTACAATTTTTCCACGCGAGTGTATACCATATCAATACGTTTTTACCTACATATATTTACCAATATATTGTGTGTATAAAATACATTTACACATGCATCTTATTTATACACATATCGTATCGTATACATTTTATCGAACTATATCACAATAATACGTCAGTCTATATGTTTGCATACGGTTTTCATATATCAGCAGAGTGATTTTTGTGGAAGATTTAGGTGTATAATTTATTTCTATTCATAAATCTTGAGTAAATTAACTGAAATACCCATGCAAAACTGGAGCGAGTACAATTATAATTATGAATTTCATAAACTATTATTGTATTACAACAATGCTTACTTATAATATCGTAGTATACTAATTTCATTGATTTCTTTCTTAGATGATGACAATAAAGAAAATCAAGCAAATGGCAAATTAGAATCCCCAGTTAAATGGTCAATACAAAACGGTAGTGATAGTGGAACATACGCTGAAATAGGAACTGGAGGCAACAGTAACACCAGCGAAAGAAATATCCTGGACCCGGCGGATAGTTCTGAAGAAGAAGTTCCATTACCAGATGCCACATCACCAGGAAGAAGTAGCGATGGCCCAGAACCAAGAGCAGATATTACTGCAACCTTGGATGGAGGTGAGTTTATATTTTGTTGATATATGTAAAATTCAGAAACTAAACTTCGAGATCTAATGGAATTTCATTAAAGAATAAATAACAAATGAAAAACCTTACTATAATGCATTACATATTGTAATTACATTTGCGGATTTAATAACCAATTGTTTTTAAATAATATACAAAATAATAGAAAACATTTTTAATTTTCTTTAATACAATACAAGTAAACTTTTATATACAATACATACATAGTAGTGAAATAGATAGATACGAATGAAGGACGACTTGTGGTTATCTCCAAGTTCGTAATCCCAGATAATAGATCCCAACTAGACGAGGAGGTTTGTTTTGCTGCTATTGTTCGAGCAGATTATTCAACACGCGCACGTATAAGAAATTAAGAATTAGACACAAGTACAACAGCGAGCTTACTTACTGGACACAAAATTACATTGGAGTTGGAAAGTTCCATTGTGAACAGACATTTTACAAATAGATAGAATGTTTTCTACAGGGAATAAATATACACTTGTTGCTGTATCAAGATATTTACATACTTAATGTCAGTCTTATAAATGTTCCTTATTCTCTAACAACAAAATAGAGTGTACGGTTGCTATTAAAAGGTTGAGCCGGATGTCTGTATTACTATACTAGTGATCTAGTATCTAGTATCATTAAACAATTAATATTATAAACCATTATTTAAATCTAAGCTCCAATGCATTTTATTAATAGAGAAATAAATGGTAAATATATTATTACATTAATCAAGAATTTACATTTTTTCTTTCAATATGGCAGCTTCACCAAAACAAATATGAGAGTGGGGAATATTTTCTCCTATCATAATCAGAGAATGACACAAACAAAATCTTCTTCATTACCAGATGTTAAAAAACACTATGTAAGTTGTAACTAATGTAAAAGATAAAGAAATTATTATATATACATAAAATGTCACGCAGTATCTTAATGGTTATGTTTGACAATTATAATAACATCATAGAATATTTGTATAGATATAGGTACTCGTATATATAATAATATAAGCATTGTTAATTCTGCTTCGATTGCAGAATGCATCTTGTACTAATGAGCAGTAGATAGCTTGGGGAACACTCATTTGCGGACTAACTGAACATCCAACTGACTTTGCAAGAAACTTTCTGCAGCTGTTTGTTATATATCACTTAATTACTCTCCTAGGTTTTCAATTTACTCAAAGCAAACTGGAAACTTTTATACTACAATGTGATAGTCCCTATAGCGTTTCTTGAATGAGCCAAAAAGTTATTTATGTAACGTTTAAAAACGTTCTATGAGTAGTTTTTAGGACTCGTTTATTCTTTCATTTTTCACACAGAGTATTCGTCTCAAAAGATTTTCATTTGCATTTACTTAAGTTTGTCTATAGGATTACTGTTCTGAAATTGCAAAAACTATAACCTTATACATATCTATTAGTATATCATAAAGCACGGTCCTCAGCCACCTATGTCCATAAATTAATTTGACTGCTTTAAAACCGTTTAGAGTTATAAAGTACCTGTACTTTTCATATGAAATTATAATTTTACGGAAGGAAATAACAGCTAATACTCATAAATATTTTCATCAAAGTAATAACTGCAGTTACTCTTTAATTTGAATTTAATTTTCGCCGTCGAAATGTGAGGTCCTTTGTTGTACAGAGTTTACAAGCAAGCGGAATAATGGCGCCGGAATTGCGAGGCGTTCGTTCAATATATCCGCTTCCCAAAGGACTTCAGCTCATAATAATGAGTGTTTCACGCTTCTACAACTAATTTCTTCAGTGTCGGCTTATTTGTCACGTTTTACATTATTTTTGTACTTGTTTCATAAAACTTTGTCTTGCTGTTTTTCTTGTGTAATAGAGATATTGGTCGCCGATTTGAGCAGTTTAATTTTCAAACCGCTGTTATGTTTAAAACATAAGCTATGGCATTAAATAATATTTGTAACCGAAGTTCGAAAGGGATAAATTATTGTATTAATATGATTATAATAAAATATTATATTAATAATAACCAGAGACTTATCACACAGCGTCATGTAAGCAGAGCTTGTGTTAAGGGTTTTAGACAACTGATACAAATACTTAAATATATTATTTTTTGTAAATGCATAAATAATATATATAGAAAATACCTAGATCAATACAACACACATACTCATGAATACAAGGAAAGCAATTCATGCGCATAGCAAAAAGAGTATATCGTCTTAGTTTTTCAAATTCTCATTCGAATGAGCTTATTAATCTCTTATGTCTTTTTAGGGATTTTTAGGGAAATGATTATCTTCTTCTATAGATATTTATTTCGGGCATTAGCAAAATTAGGCAGCATAATAGTAAGATAATTTAATTACTTTTATAGTAATTAATTGGTTAGTCTGTTATTGAAATCATACATCTTTTTGTCAGCGATGCACGATGGTACAATAAAGTAGGCGTCGTGCACACCTGCCACCGTTACCCGGCGCGTGTTACACACGAGGAATCGATTTGTCTGGACCGGGTGCTGTTTTCGTGAACAACTTCCCCGTTATTATTACGATGTTTACGTCGCTATAATCAATTTCATTTCTATGACAGCGGCAACATCGCACTTTACCAAACTTTTGATAGTATAGAATGCTAATAATGAAGAATATATTCCGAGACTTGATTGTTGAACAGGAACGACGATTCTGAAAGTTAAGCTATTAACAGGAAGTCAAAGTTATAACAAATCGTAGATTAAGTCACCCGGTTACGTTAATTTATTGAATGGTCCTAGTTTTCTTTTTCAATTTATATACGAGGCGTAGATATTTACAGACAAAGAGCGGAATAACTCTTCGAAATAGGTTTTTACTCTTTTTTTAATATTACATAGGAAAAACGAACTACGATTTACTCGGCATACACTGCGATTTTTTATAGAGATCTTGTATTCTTGCATATCACGATTAAACACTCTTTCAGCCTAGATGGATTGGAATAATATTTGAAATACTTAAATTTTTTCTGAGCTCAAATTCCTGAGCGAAATTCATATTCCTGGGGTCTTATTAACTTGTTGGTTTCAGATTTATAGCATTCTTAATAACTCAACAATGTAATACATTTTAACAACAGAAGCGGCGTCCCCTGGCGGTAGATCTGACAGATCGCGGCAGGAGGAAGTATTGGCCTCTCCTGGGATGCTCACAGCGGCACAGTTGGCCAGAAGGCTGAGGCTAGAGAACGAACGATTACAGGTAACGTGCTCTGCGTTTAAAGTTCGTCAGGAGGTAATTTGCGGTATTTCTGAACATTGTTGTCCTTGGAGATAAGCCAAAATTAATAGCGTTTATATGATCGTTAAGTGTAGCACCTAGCCTATAATTTATATTTTATTAATAATAATGTTTACACGACTGCTATCCCATCATTATCAATTATCAACATTAAGGAGAACGCAACACTAAACGTGCCATTTAGCTCGGTATATTTTAATCCTTATTTTTGTATCATAATATATAATTATGAGATTATCTTTATACTAAACTAACTAACTATATTATAACTAACTATAAAAAGAAAATAACCGAGTAAGTATTATATTTTATTAGGAAAAATCTCTGGTACATGGTTACAATATAGCGATAATATTTTGATGCTACTCACAACTCCCAATCATCACATCTTTTGAAAATCACAAATATATTTTTTTAATTTAACTTTAAAATCATAAGAGTCGTCTTATTGTTACCAAATCTCGCCTTTTCTACCAATCACTTCTATGTAGATATTGTTAATTCTTCAAATTCTTGAGTTAAAATTCCTACTGTAAATCTGATTTAATTCTTTACTTTCATCCGACACAGGCGGAGTTAACAAGAGTACGCCGATTGTTAGTGGCGGCGGCTGAACGAGGTGAAGCTGGTACGGCCTTAATAGAGCGGGCAAAGGGGGAAGGCGAACAAGATGCAGCACCTCTTGACCCACAACAGTTAGAAAAAGAGCTGCTACTCGCTAGAGAAGCTGTCAATTGTAAGTATGACGTTTTAACTGTAGACAGTTCTTTCATTGTATTTCTATGTGTATAATATTCAACTGTTTTGTACCATATTAGTTAATGAGGATGTTTGTTATTTAATACATAAATGGTGGTTATTTAATACACATACGAAGGATGTATATTTTTTAATACAATTGACAGATTATTGGCAGTATTATTTTTTATATAATTGGTACATTGCCAGAATACAATGTATGGGTGGTATCGCGGGTATCACATGATAACGTGATATCTGTAGTGCTTTTTACGAATATAGGCGACAGTTACTACTTATAATTAGGCGGGCTATTAGCTTATATGTCGTTCCAATTACATAGGAAAAAATTATCACGACTATGACTTATGACTTGACATTATGTTATTAAATTAATATCTTGGCCTTCCCATTGTATTGAAATATAAAGCATATAATACTGTGCTCATAATATTATAAGTAATAAATTAAGGCACTCACTAATAGTCATAATCTTTATCTAACAAAATGTTTTTCAAATATACCGTATCGCAAAATGATGTAACATAAACGAAGAAATATTTATGAATAAGCTTGGAATGACTAGAAAATGTATATCCCTCAATAAATTCTGTATACTAAAGAGGCTAGTCCAAATAATAATCCAAATGATACCTATAAAAGGAGCCAATTTGTTGAGTGCCGTTCATGATATGAGAAAGAAGTAGTGAGCCGACATTTTGATAAACTAGACATAACATTCGGAGTACCTGGGCCTAGGAGGGCGAAATCGGTAAACGTGTCACGTACTCTAGGGCGTGCTACTGTAACTTTGGCTGACATTTTCACTAACATCATTACTCTGACGAAAGCGAACTCGATGCCGTAATATCACTACATATGAATACAAAGGCCTAATTATATTTTCTTAGAAATAGAAAATAGCGATCAGTATATTTGGAGTTTATTTTAATTTTTTCATACCCGTATGTTTACTACTTACTACTTATTACTCTTTACATTTTTATAAAAATAGCCTACTGAACGGTACTAGATACTTTTTATATAGTTTTATTTACAAGAATCATGCTCACTTATTAAAATAGATTATTTAGTATTCGGTTCTATCTGCTTACCTCGCAAGAATCCTCTAGCATGAAGATATGATATATAATTTACATTAATATGCTATTCAATAAGTACGTAATTTTATGATTTTCAATTATATTCTGTATATTATATGGCGGAAACACATTAAAAATTCAATTAATTGTTTAAGTCGACAATAAAATATCAATTATATCTGATAATCGAGTTTCGACACTGACTGAGTTTGATACTGAAGTTGTTCACTTATACTTATGAATTATGTTACATTATTTCACTAATTCATAGTCCTATTATTCTCTAGCTAGCATATTATGTACACACTTCAACATTACATACGTAATAGGAAACTCTCTAAAGTTAGGATGCCCAAAGACGCTCTATTGTTTTACTAACAAGCCATGTTTCCCAGAGCGAAGTAGGTGGCATTTATTTATAGAAGAGGGTACGATACGTACTAGAGCTTATGCAAAGCTAAGCACTGCATGAAACATCGATCAAAGGGCTGCCGTCTGAACAGCGAGCCCCAGTAATCATTTAAACAAACGATACCTGTCTACACTACCATATTTTCCTATATAAATACAGATATTATAGTAGAGAAGTAATTACTCGACATCGCAAACTGAATGTATGTTGATAATATATAAGTATGAGTGACAGATTTTATTTGTACTTATATTTTAAGTACTACATCAAAGCCGTTACCTGAAACAATATTTTTTTAGACCACATCTAATGAATTCTTAGCTAAGTTCAATATTATTACATATTATATTTTTAATACAGTTTTCAATTTACCTAATTTATTTTGTTATGGTTTAGCATTTAAATCTATTTCACATGCGGTTTCTTTCATCGTACAATACAAACGATTGTGTGTTTGTGTTGATGATTTCTGGCATAGACATAATATTATATATTAAAATATTTATAAGATGTCGAGTAATCATAATACGAGTTCTGCTTACTTTAATAGTAGATTTAACTGTGTTATATCCGGTTTACTTTACGAATACGGTAGACTTATAATCCATTCCAAAATATCAATTTTATTTTGTATGTGAAGATGCTAGATTTTCTAATGCTACATAGATTCGACAAAGCGCCGAAAACGAACAACCTCACAGAGTGCTGAGCTTGAGTGAGATTGCACAGTATTTCGTAGTGTACACAGAAACCCTTTCCCTATAAACTTACTTTGATTCGTACCAGACGTAGCGCTGAAGTATTGCATTGAATTGTATCGCACAAAGCAAACACTATTGTGTGGGGAACTTAGTTCTGGATGGCAACATTTCGTATTTCTATTTCAAATCTCCGTGTAGAGCCAATTTATTTATTCAACACACGTAGCGAAATATACTCGCAGCAGATATATAAATTCTTAGCTCATCGCATTGGGTCATCGTAATAGATAGTAATTTATTGAATATGGCAATCCTTCTGAATAATGAATGAATCCAAATTATTAATATAATATTAGCGTTATTGGAATAGTAAACAATTATTTAGGAAATTAGAATTATACTGTTTAATTAGCAAATGGTAAAATTAATACATCACCCCGTAATTTGAATGTTAATAACTATTTTATATATATGACAAATATCAGTCTATTCTATATTTTTTCTCTTATCGTTAATTTAAATAAAAAACTTCCATTACATTACTTATATCAAAAGTTATTTACACAATTTGTTTGCTGGAGGAATATTGCAGTGTTTGATTTCTTTAAATTGAATAAAAAAAATATTTTGAATATATTGCACGTTGATTTTGAGTGCAAAATTGTATATAAAATAACATCGATGTTCTGTGCCTGACGTTCCAAATTTGAAATATTAAAATTATAATCTTAAATACATTAAAGGGCTATTTGCGATTGCAAACATAATTGAAAAAGTATTTCAGTTTTTTTACGACTAAATTGTATGAATAATGCGTGTCTAATGGTATATAGTGACCGCAAAAAGACGTTTGTCTTCTAATTTCTATTTAGGTTCTTGTCATTAATTTTCATATCTTTCATAATTATTAAAATCTAAGTGGTAATGTAAGATATGAGTGGTTTCATTTATTTAAATTTCTTTTAGCTCTGAAAGCCGATAAAAAGCGGCTGAAAGCTGAAAAGTTCGACTTACTGACTCAGATGAAGCAGCTTTACGCTACACTAGAAGATAAGGAGAAAGAACTGCGAGACTTTATACGAAATTATGAACAGGTTGGTTGAAACTTGTATTAAATTGCAGTGCTTTTTTATACACATATTGTTTGAAATTAAATGAACTTACTATGTTATCGTTTTCGAGCGAGGAGAGACGCTGCCGCGAATGCATCGTATGCATCCTCATGAAGACTTCCGGATGAACTCGCAACAATTGTCGGAAAACTACAACATAGTAAGTTCATTAAATTGCCGTCAATTAATTAACTAATATAACAGGTTTGAACATTATATAAATAAGTACTACAATATTTAGTAATTATATTTAATCGTATTCCTTCAAAATGTAATAATATAAAAGACAGTATATGGTATAATATAAGGCAAAATAGACAAAAAATACAATAATTTTCTAAAGTAATCTATACTATACAATATTAATCTATATCTATTATGTTTGTAATGGATAAACTAAAAAGAAAACATTTACCGTCTAAAATACGGTGAGGAATAGAATAATTAAGATGTGAAAAAAATGAGATATCTGCAATGATTGTACCCTTGCGAAGCCAGGTAATGTCACAAATATGTGACATAACTTTTATATTATAAGGTTCCATTTGCTACAGATGCGCTCAAGAGGCGGTGCATCATCGGCTCTGGGTGCAGAGAGAGCAGAACGGGAAAGAGAGAGGGCTGCGTTATTGCGTCATGCTCGCGACGAAGCCGAACGTTCGTTGCAACTTGCTGCTGCGCTCAGTGCACGAGATACCCAGCTTAGACACGCCCGAGAACAATTATTTGAGGTATTTTTTTATATAATTCCAGTGGCTAACAAGCTGACGGCCTACTTATTACTAAGCGGCAACCGTCGCTTATATAAGAGTATATGAAGTAATATGAACATAGGATATCACGTTATCATGTGTAACTCGTTCTACCACTCTTGCTTTAGTATTCCAGAGGACTCTTCCAGACGTCGTACGTTTGAAACAACATTTGAAATGAGTATCTATTATACTAATTTTACACTAATATTTCAGAAAAAATATTTTTGAAATACTAAATATGGAATAAAGAATCAGATGTTTTGCTTAGAATGACTTACTGTATACATATAACTATAAGATATACAGACATAATACGAGTATGTATAGACGTTTTTATAATATAAATATAATTTGAACTATCTCCATGTAAGATCCCGTACGGAGAAACTAATTACCTAATACACTCGTAAAATATCTACATTACCAATATATATATATATATATAAACTTTACTAGTGTATTGCTTGATATTTATTACGATTATGATCGAGTGGAATACAGTTTGCAAACTACATTCATCCAATAAATAGCATTCGGCAGTGTTATGATGGATCGGTTGTGCGGAGCGGTCGGCGGCCATCCATCACAAACATGCGGTGTTAATTACCATTTCAAATTGCTCCTTCAAATCCAAATTGCGGAGAAAATTAAACGTGGTACGTTCAACCTCAACTGCAGCCGATTTTCTGTCTCGTTGGTTTACAATGAAATCAAATAAGTATTTTTTTATTAACTGCAATCGCGAATTCAAGTAGAATTATTTTTCAAATATATCACGTGGATATAACCTATTTTCAATATGCGTCTATTTCTTCTACGGTAGATAAAATATCTGTTTAAAAATCATTCTGTCATGTGTATAAGAGTATTTGTAGATAATAAAATAAATTCGAGAATATTGCTGACGCTAAGTATTGTAGTACGATTGTAAATACGACTTTAAATTCAATCAGTTAACCCATATTATTTTTAAAACCCTGTTTGCGACTATGCCACCTAATTAACAGTAATCTAAATAATATTATAATCATATTACCACTGCTGTAACATCATTACACCGATATTAAGCGATAAAATAGCCTTACCCAATCGAAAGGCCAAATCCTGCCCAAATTAAGCCCCAATCTAAATTTATCGAGGCGTGAAACTGGGCAGAAATTTGGCAGAATTAGTAAACCCAACAATACCCATTTCACAATAATTGCTTAACTTGATAATCGTGATATATTAGATATCTAAAATAACGTTTTCCAAAATCAAAATTCAATTCACGTTAGCAATATTCAAAGGAGTAACTTATTATTTAATTATATTTAGTGATAATCATCCTAATGAAAATGGAATACAAGTAAAATAATTTATGATCACCCATACTAATGTTATAAATCGGTCAGTGCATCTGTTAGTTTGGCCTACCTTTACTAAGGACGTTTGACGACGAAATAGGTCTAAGAAAATTTGACATTGGTATATAACATTATGCAGGCAAACATAGAAATAGAGACAATAAATTTTTATTCAAATATATGAACACTTTTTGATAGACATATAATATTTTTTTAATTCTAATAAGAAAGAAATTGCGTTTTGTACTTATAAATACATTTTGTTCACTTCATTATAAACATAATCTAAAAAGAGTGAGTGAAAAATATTATGAAGTTTATGCAAACTAAATGGCGGGTAACATAAGTTAATATAATAATAGTAGTTAAAGAATATAAAATTAATATTTGAATAATTACATAACTAAAACAACATTAGTTATTTTTCTCAGAAATATAAGTATAGTAAAGTATAAATAAATATAAGGAATAATAGAATTAGAAAATTTTTAATGTATATAATTTTAAACTACAACAAATAAATCATGTCAAGAAATTTATATTATTTACTTATAGATAATCTGAATTCTTTTCAAAATTTGTTTATTTAACAGGCGCGTAGGCAGCTCCAAGCCGCTGGATGCCTGTCAGAGGGCGAGAGCGTTGCATCTCTTGGAATAGGGCCACCCATGATGCTGGGTGGACCATCAGGTCTAATCGGAGATCGCGGCAGCTGCAGCGCCGACTCAGGTGTCAGAGGTAGAAACTTAAGAACTACCGCCATTTTTTATTTAAATTTATAGCATTTCTAAATGTATCTCTACAGGCAGTTGTTTTACTTGTTCATTATATTATAATAATTATTCATCTGCTAAAAATATATTCAACTGGATATAGTTGTTAATATGTTACTATTTATATAAACGTATAGTTTTATTTGACAGGTTTATTTCATTATTAAGCAGACAGAATAATTATGTATTTGTGTTAGATTTCTACTACTTTTATAAACCATAACGTTATTTTTTTTATAGTAATACTAGTCACTATAACAAAATCGCAATTATAAGCCTGTTATATCGTAAACCAATCTTTCAGATAATCATTTAGAGAACCTACTGTAACCTAATAACGTGTGTCAGTAACAGGCAGTAGCGACGGTGGCGCTACCTCAGTTTGCGGTGGCAACCTGTCAGACTCCACAGCGGAGGGCGCACCCCCAACCCTTGATGCATACGACACGGACGCAGCCTCGCTTGTATCATCTGCACACCACATTTATCAATGTAACGTATTTTAAACTAATACTATAAATCAAGGTTCTTCAATACAGCGTATCTATCAGGAATGTCAGCCCTATAAGAAACCTCACAAATAATAGATTTTATAAGTTAAGTTTGATACGAGATTTTTACCTACGAAAATACTATAATGTACGAGCTTAAAGAGCCAAATTAGGTTAATGTTTTAACGTTAGCAATCCTGGTACCTCTATGAAATGGTTAAAAACTAGAAATTTATATAAAACATCATACATGTCATCAAGTGACGCCAACTTAATACCCTTCTGCTGTTTCGATTCCTAAGGAAAAAGATGTTATATTTCCATATTTATAATATAGGTTATATTTTTCGGCGATAACTGTTTGTTATTTATTTGAGTTTTTCCATTCCAAGTTGTAGATAACAACCATACAGCCCGCGTGTATGAGATATCATGTAATAATGTTAGAAATAAGAAATTTGCATGGGTTAACGTTAGTAAGGTTTTGTATCTTCAAAGTAAATTTAAATAATAGGTACTTACATATCATACAATAAATATCACAGAATATCTGAAACCCTACACAATTGAGCGGTCTAAAAAATGGAATAAGTGAATTCTTTATAAATTGAGATGAAAAATGTTACTAGTATAAATGAATAATGTAATATACATGAGAATCTATCTCGAATTATTCACAAGATACTATATATTTTCGAACTGAACAAACCAATTTTGTATTTGCCGTATACAAACATAAAAGTAAATTGGATATTTCAAGCTCTTCTATGAGCGATAAACCTATTTTTCGGAGGCAAATACTTTATTCACGGAAAATCCTATCTGTTTAATTATTAGAGGGTTCGCCATTCCGCTCTTATCAAACAATATATAACGTAAAAAACAGAGCTGTAAAAATTTCCGATTACGCGACAACCGTTTTATTACAGCAAAAGCCCTGCTTAACGATCAGATTGCGTCGTTTATACGCCTCTCAATGACGGTCTCGGCTCGGGTATATTTCAATATGCCTAATATTAAATTTATTAATACTATACAAGATTAGGATAAAATTTATACAACGGCTCGTAAGACATTCGACATGATTCGCTATAGGTATCTGAATATAAAATAGCATTTGCTAATATAATTTCACTTTATCATTTTTAAAGTTAAAGTAACCTACATAATTTCAGATTTATTTATTTGCTATGTAAAACGGATTACATTTATCTCGTCAGTTACAAAATTATAAGTCAATGTAAAAATTAACATAAATTTTAATTTGACTTAGACATACATTCATTATGGTGATATTTAAAAAAAAAGTCTTCCTCTTTCCAGTTCTTCTAAATTTTAAAATTAGTAAATAGATTTTACTAGACTTTTTTGGTATAACAAGTTTGTCTTTATTTCTTGTGTTATTATTATGTATTTCTTGATTTTAGAAATACAAGAAAAATCTAAAACTATTTTCCTTGTTTTGTGTTTTCCTAACAATGAATGAAATATAAATAGTGATACCACCGTAATTTTATTTTTGACAAAATAATTTCTAGCTGATTTTATTTCCTGTTGTCACTAAACCAATCCTATATATCTAATACTATAAATGCGAAAATATATGTCCATGTCTAACTATTTTTTATTTAAAGATTGTTCACGAGATGACTTGTTCAAATAATCAAATATAAAAATACACTGATATTATATAAAATAGGCCAAAAATAAAATACTATATAAAATACGCCAATGTGAAATAATTGGATTCACATTATATTTTAAGAAATAAACTTACCTACGTTTTCTTTTTTGCATTCCACAACTTTATTTTATGATTGAGATCCTCGAATAATATATTTAATATTTATAGTAAATTATATTGATTTTGTTGTAGTGAGCACGCCGCGGGATTGCAGTCCCACCCTGTCGCCACACAATAGCGCTTCGCCGTTCACGCGATCTATAGACGCCGGATCACTATCAAGGTTTGAATAAAATATTTAGTAAATCAACCATTATTTATCACTTATATGATAATAAAAATAACTAATGAATGACTGAATGAATGGAACTTTATAGAAAAAACTTCATCATTATCCGAATCGTGATTATTAACCACATTTTTTTAATTAATTATTTTTAGTTTATGCATTGTATAAAAGAAGAACATAGTAGAATCCATATCAACGTAAAAGTCATCATAAAACGACACATAGACATACATATAGAAGAACATATAGTTGATGTAGGTATATAACATAAAAATAGTTTACATTTTACTTTATATTTTATAGTGACTTCAGGCTATTGGCTGAAAACCCAGTCATGTAATTAAATTTAGAAGCGTATACTTTCACAATCAATTCCCCTCAACCCTAAACCGAGAGAAAAAAGTTTTTAGTCGGGGAATTGTTGGTTGAATAATAGAGTATTTCATTTAGTTAAATTGTCGAAATTATAATTGCTTTTAATATTCTATAATAACTTCTACAAACTAGCCGTCCCAGCGGTTTTACTTTCATTGTTTGGATTAATAAAAATGTGAAGAATTTTTAAAATTCCTCGCCCTACAAATAACCAACCATCAATAAAAATTTGTAAGTGTTGTCTTGTCTTATAAAATGATATTGGCACTTGCTGTAACATTCGTTATTGTACGTACGTACTAAAAATGTCTAATCACTGAATCCAAAACGCCTAAATTATTTTATTAAAAAAAGGTTTCGACGCAATATATTAATAATTTCAAAACTTTTAATGGTCTATAACAAAAAAAACTCTTATTCACGAATAATAAACGTAAACAGGTCAGTGGAACAGCTGTCGAGTCCGGGTGAGTGCGAGGCGGCCCTCGTGGGTGGGCTGAGGGCCCGCGGGGCCACCGGCAAGGGCGGCAGAGGACGGGGCTCCGCCTGGGGCTCCATATCACGGGTGTTTGCTCGAAGTAGGCACCGCACCAAGTCTGGTAGTGCCGTCGTCAGCGGACACGAGAGCGGTGAGACAAAGAGATGTTTTGATTTTAACTTTTATTGTATATTAGCAACACGCCCTTCATTCGCACTGTGTAAGATATTTTTCTGTTCGCTAAAAGTACGTATGTTTTAAGTTTGACCTCTAACAATACATTCCTGTTCAAAACTCCGTTCAATAGTCTTTACGTAAATATATGTTTGCGTGATGATGATGCCTTGTAAAGGCATCACGCAAACATATAAATTGAAAAAAAAATCTAAATTCCGATATTTTTCTAGAAAACTGTGAATGATTTTAATGAAATTTTAAAAAAGATGTGTTTGATTTTAAAATTAATAATTCACAGATGCAATGTTATTACAAGTATGTGTAAATTGAGGTCCAACTTTAGGCAAATGTCATGTTTTAAGATTTATAGCTTCATTTACCAACAACAAATGGAGTGGTCGAGTAATCGAATTGGATATTGCTATTTGTAATCTATTATGTCACCAAGCACTTGGCATGTTACATTTGAATATGTTCAGGGAAATGCGAGTCGTTTGGCGAATGGTACTTAACTGTTATATTCATTATTATTATGTATATTATAAAAATAATCGTAATAGAGATATTTACCACCATTAGGGATTATAGTGTAATTATGAAACATAATAAATATAAAAATATTTACTATGTTTACTTTTGTTTCATTAAATATTTTAGCGCTTTATGTATAACGACTAATACGAATAATATGTATATAGAGGAAGGTCAGGTTAATTATATAACTTTTATTCTAAGCATGATCGCGTTAGAATTCCCAATAATAATATGGCTTCACGACTAGATGAGGTAAATAGGTATTGTCAATTCTCTACGTCGTGAGGGCCGTAGAATTTGTAGGAACTGATATCACTGATATTTTGAATGGTACTAAAAGATATATTTAATGAATAAACTTTATTTATGACCTTGTTAGTGTTAGTTTAGCACTACTTCCCTTAGGAAATTCGCTGATATTTTTCCTGCTTATTTATATTCCCGAATATATTCATAATCATGTTTGTATTGGTCTGAGTGTTTTTCTATTTTTGTGACAAATTATATCCCTTATTTTACCCCCCCCCCCCCCCCCCTTAAGGTAACATTTTTACAAACTTTGAATATCTTATTTATTTATATTTAATCAACAGCCTTAAAATGAGTTTCATGCTTTGCTGCTACTGCAGACTGCATACTGCATGCTTCTAACTTTTAAAATGACGATACTTACATATAATCTTTCATCTCCCTTTTGAACCCCTTACAACCCTTGTTCGCATAAAAAAGTAGCCTATGTACTTTCTCAGGAAGTAGACCATCTGTGTACCGAATTTAATATAAATGCGTTCAGTAGTTTTAGACTAAACAACTCAATCGAGTTTAGGCTCATTACTTCTTGTTTCTGATGATTATATAGTGGGTAGATGACAGACGGCAACAAAACAGACTTTCATATTACTTACTAATTTCTATCGAAGTTTCTTAAACTACTTAAGGCATGAAAGCGACACAGCAGACAGAGTTACTTTCGCATTTATGAAATTAGTAATTATTATTAGGCAAATTAATACGGTGAACATGTACTATATTGTCCCCTAGAACCTGTATACGCTGGAACAGGAAGCACGACGCGTGCGTGGTCTCCACTTGGTAGCGAAGCTGCCCTGCGTGAAGCAGCCTCATTACCTTTAGCGCGATGGCGTGCCCCTGCTATCATAGCATGGCTAGAGCTGGCTCTAGGCATGCCTCAGTATGCTGCTGCAGTAGCCGACAACGTCAAAAGTGGAAAGGTTTGTTACATATTACCGAGAAACAACTTTGTACGAAGTCGATTTTGGCGGTAATAATCTCTTACATTTTCTGTGTAATAAAAATATAATCTGTTTTATGAATAGTGAAATTATAGGGACAAAACATTTTAGCCGTCATGAAGGGTATTGCTTGTATAGTAACTGAGATAATGATGTGATGTCCTTTATGCTGTTCACGTATAAAGGCGATGGTTTCAACTTACCATCAGGTGAGCCGACAGATTGTTTGCAATTTCGGTTACAGAAAAAAAAAACAATAGACTACAAACCAATCATTAATTTAATACAAGAACCAGCCTAAGTCATTATAATAATTACCTATTTTCTTCATACAATATTAACCAACTAGCAATTTAATACGACAATGTATGTTATTATTTATAATACTCTATATTCTTTATGAAATACTAAGGAACTTAATAGGATTTCCAACATTAGTGTAACGATTTTTATATAATAAGAATGTTTCGAAACTTTATTATTTTAGATTATTATTTTTTAAATATATATACGTACTTAGTAGTTACAATTAATCGACAAATAACTCCTAGCGAATCGATTTGTAAAATTCTGCGTAAACCTAGTAACAACTACATTTAATAGTAGTTTTAACTACATTTATATGAATGATTTCTGAATTTTAGTTAAGATTCTGAAACCAGAAAATTTTAATTTGTCATTTTAATTTTTTTAAGTATTGTACCTTAATGTATATATATTATACAAAGAGTAAACAAGAGATGGAGACATTATCATTCTGTGCAAATAGAATATGAAACCAAGTCATAAATAAATATTATATATTTATTCGTTTTGATTATACAGACTTGAATATAAGAAATAGTCAAGTCTGTATACTGAATCCAATTTAGAAATATGGTAGTTTATTTTCAGATTTTGTTGAATGGTAGAATGACTTCGAATTTAGAAGTGCCTACTAATATTACTTAGAAAGTGATTAGACTAATCATTACAATAACATCGTCTATCTCCAGTTAGAGATAGTTACAAAAGCTAGACATAGTGATAAATGATCAGATACTAACATCGTATCCGAACAACTAATCTGTCTGTTCGAGTATTAGGGTATTTCCTCACAATGCAATCAGCGTCCTATAATAATCTATTAAGGCCCGGAATTTTACCTTCCCTATTCGTTAACTATTCGTATGTTGTGATTGAGGATTAAATGTGCATAAATGAACATAAAAAAGAATTCTAAGCATACATTGAAGTGAACAGATGTTGTAACTTACCAGAAATATATTGCGGTCGGAAGAATATTTTTGATGTGTATTAATATTAAGGTTAGGTTTTTTAGATATTAAAAAATATATTTATTGCACTTGGATTATGCATTAAGTAACAATAATTCGAGTATATTTTAATTCACGTAACTACAGATTATTTTTTTAATTATTAAAGCATTTAAATAATGGAATGTTATTAAAGAAATATTAATAATTGTTTTAGGATTTAGGACGTTTTTTCAAATCTTAATACTTGTTCCATATTTCGTAAATATTTTGTATTGAACTTTATAAACAAAGTTGATTTCGAAATTATTCTTTAATCAAAGGTATAAACTCACATTTGAATCAAGAAAATACGAATATTTTTTTAATCTCTGTACCCATTAACCAGATAAACAATGAAAATATAAGGTCATAGGTTTAAGGTTATATTTAAAATTAATGTAACGCACGTAATGTAAAAAAATGAAAAAAATTGACGTTTACATTTTTATACGGGTCGTAATCCTCGTCTAACACAATGCGGCTTATCTTTCTGGATGTAACGAATGGAACCAAAAAATCCATTTTCATTATCCCATATCCATTCATTACACGAAATACGCTCGTTTTATTAGATTTCCATGGAAATTAAGCCCCAATACAGAGTCCCTTGATAAATTCATCGCTATATTTGTTTATTCAAAACACGTTGATCTCCGATTTATCCGTAGGTACTCATTTGCGTGATTATTAATTTTTGGCGCCAGCAATTCTCGCGTTAAATGATATCAATAACAAAACTTCAATTAGTTCCTGATTTAATGAATAAAATTAAGTGTTACGTGATAATTCACTGCGCCAACACAATTATGTAAATTTGCAAGTTTCAACCTTTTTTTTAAAGTATCTGGTAGCAAAATTGACGCAATAGTAGCGTCAAATATTGTGTTCTGATTGGTTCTAGATCCGTGCTTTGAATGGGCAGGTTCTGCTCGAGTTATCGGATGCGGACTTGGAAGTGGGCTTGGGGATCACGCAGCCAATGCACCGCAAGAAATTAAGACTAGCGATAGAAGAACGAAGACGACCTGACCTCGTGAGGAATCCGAGTATAGGACAGCTGACGCATGCATGGGTCGCCGCTGAGTGGTTGCCTGACTTGGGTTTATCGCAGGTATATTTAAAAATATTAATTAACCATTAAAGAAGAGATTTTTTTTCATGGAGACAAAAGGTCATAGTCATATCATTGTTTAATTTATGAGTAATTTTTATAAAAATAGGTAATAATTTACATATTCAGTCCTTTATTCTTTTAATCACATTTTCTTTTTATTACAAGTCCTCCTTTAGTCTTCGCCATGAAATGTTTGTAATAATTGACCATATAAATGATATAAATTTTTAAAAAGTCATACTAGTACTTAGTATGGTATATTTCTAAGTCTGTGGTTTTACAATTGGGTCTTATAAATAAAATACGTTTATAATCGTGTTGAAATAAATAAATGTTTGTTTGTAAACAGTACGCAGAGTCCTTCTTGGCAAACTTGGTGGATGCTCGAATGCTCGATACAATTAGCAAGAAAGAATTAGAGAAATATCTAGGCGTAACAAGAAAATTTCACCAGGCTTCCATAGTCCATGGCATTCACTTGCTTAGGATAATGAAGTATGACAGACAAGTAAGTAACTTTATATTATAGTTAAATACAACTGAGAGAAATTAAGCGTATATTTATAATATTGATAAAGACAAAGAATGTATCGACAACAAAATTGAATAACAGTTTATATCACTGACTTTCTTTGCTTTATAATTTGAAATGTAGACGCGTCAGAAATATTGAGAAAAACATAAAAAAATAGTTATATACCTGTTCTGTAGTTAACGCTCTTTATTTTGATGAAGTAAATAAATCTACGAAATGTAATGACTAGGGATAACTGCCAAGACGGGTCAATAAAGAGCCTCTACACGGTACAGTGAATTCCTCCGCATTTTATATTAAATAAGATAATCTGGGAAAGAAAAAAAATTTTTCCTGTTCTTTACGATAAAGAGGCGAAAGATAAGACAGAAACAAATAAACGATTATCCAGTGAGCCGCTACAAAATGTTTCGTATCGTATTGCTGTGACCCCTATAATGTGCACCCATTAATCATCCCGGTACATTCCTTCGAATTCGTCGTTGGATCCAAATTTGGCCAACAATATCTCTTATTATTACATCCCTATTCTGAACGTAATAAATTACTTCTGGCTGAGTGAAATCAATCTTAGTTACATCTGTGAACTGTTTTGTAGGCTTTGGCTGTGAGGCGTCACCAGTGCGAGAACGTCGACGCAGATCCTTTGGTTTGGACCAACCAAAGATTCATGCGATGGGCTCATAATATTGACTTAGGTGAATTTGCTGATAATCTGAAAGGTGAGTTTTATTTTATAAGTACCATTACAATGGTCTGGGCTATTATTACCTACTTTAAATTAGGTTGCATTAACTTATTATTGACGTGCCTTCTACACTTAACAGACAGTGGAGTACACGGTGGACTGGTAGTATTAGAGCCATCATTTACAGGAGAAACCATGGCAACCGCTCTTGGAATACCGCCATCCAAAAGTATTATACGAAGACATTTGGTAGCCGAATTCGACGCTCTCGTAATTCCTGCAAGGTAAGTAATGTCGTATATACACTCGTCTTATCGAAAGGAAATATAATATTTGCGTAAGGTATATTTCAGAAAAAAATTATAATATTATATTTCCTATTTGTAGTCTCCCAAAATTACTTCAAATTGTGATCTTATTAAACCATGTCTATTATTGTCATGTCTTGATGACAAAGCACTGTCCAATGTAATCTACTTTACCCATAACTCATACTAACTGAAATACTATGTGAGTGTCAAACATAAAACATTGAAAGGAAAATTGCGCACTGCATGTATAGCTGTCACCAGATTCACAGTCCCAGTAGGTGAGCAACCTGTAGTTGATTATAATATGAGGTGCAATCCTGCAGGTATACGATATTTTGCCAGGTGGAAGAACTGCAAGTGGAGGCTGCCAGAGCATCCATGTTGTCCACAAAACAAAGATAAATCGACAAAAATTAAAAAACTCTCATTCAAAAAATAAGTCTTAGCTTCGTTCGACGTCCAGTTTCGTCAAACTGTGTATCTATGTAAAATTTCCTATATTTAAAATGTTTGTAAAGTTGCTATTTTTACACAAAACATTTTCTTTGCAAAAAGACATTTAGAGATCTTCCGTCGTGACTCGCTCGTTTGTGGGACTTTTTGATTGGAAATTTTACGAGCAGTGAAGACTGATAAGTTATTGTAGAAACCGTGGTTTGTATGTAAAGTAATTGGAAAAGTTATAGTGATCGGAACAGTAACATTCTTTTGTGCCCTTCGCCTTCGTCAATGTTAGATTCAATGTTCTGCATTGTAACCCCCTAGAGTTCCAACTTGCAGTAGTATAGATACGTCACATCAATGTTTATTCGAAATCGATAAATTTGATAAATTTAGTAAATGTATACAACTTACAATTAGTTATATCGACGTAAAAGCATAAAATGCTTCGTATTAAATTTAGGGGGTGAATCATAACCCATTCTTAATATCTGAGTAATTATATTCATCGGAAAGGATTACTTTAAAATTTTCATTAAATTTGAAAAGTAATTATATGTAGAAATCGAAGATTAAACCATTACACAATAATTTATATTAGATATAAAAACAGAACCATTCACAATAGCTTTAGGGGTTATAACAATAATAGCATTTACCCATACTGTAAGATAAAATATGTTTTTGACTTGTATACATTCATATTGTAAAGTTGATAACATTGTATATTAGTTCACTTGTAACGAGATCGATTGACATATAAATGTGAATAAATCCTGATAAAAAATGATAATGCCCAATGGACATCGAGTCAGATTCTTTTATTATCCATCACCCCTAACTTGGCGTCCTTGCATCGAGACAGAACGGTAACGATCATTTTATCGATAAGTCATGAATGCCTCTCTGTCATCATCATTAGATCGCACTTTAATCAGGCTCTGTTCACTGTTTCTCCTTCCATTTAAATCATTTTATTTTGTGGAAATAATTTCGATCACATCACGGACGTGTCGTGCTTGTCTGGTTTGGTTTCAACATTTTGATTATTATCATTATTGTTATTTATGTGAGCTCGCAGAGAACAGTACTGTTTTTCAAGCTCTAATAAAAATCTTTATACCTTGATTTATAATATTATACACGATATTATATTACAGTCAGTACTTTTCTTTGTTTCAAAATCAATGTCTACCACGTTCTTTTCTTTCTAATCATACATACTTATCATACACCGTCAGCATGATTTGTATTTTCCAGCAAAGTGCATCATGCTTTTGATGTCTAAGCAAAATAAGAATAAATTTATTCAACAACAAGTTTTTGAAGAGCTTATTGTGAATATAAAGACACGACTATACGAGTATGCCAAGCATAGTGTCTTAAATGTCTATATTAAAACTACGGCACTTGTAATAAGTGAGCTCCATAATGTAAAATAATATCGAAAGTTGCATGAGAGCTTTTTATGTGATATTACAGTTTTAGTCTAAAAAGATATTTTATTATCAAAGTAAAAGCAAACAGCGCTCTGCCTGGCTTTCGTTAATATATTGCATATTTTCACTGTATATGTACAATAAGAATAAATATGATTTTCAGGAATATGTTTGGTCACCAAATCAGAATGTTGGGTAGACCATTTTCGAGATCAGTTGCTACTGGTTTACCTGGAATAGACCTAAGTAGTGATTCCAGGAGACACAGTTTGAGGGTAAGTAATAGTAAGTCAGTCCCGACATGTGTCATTTACACTGATTTTGCAATTATGATGGTTGGCTAACTTGACATTATGTCAACTCATCATTCATCTATCAGAAAGCGTAAAATTAAATAAATGGATTTCGTTCATCGTGGTTATGAAGAGATATATTTATCCAAGATTTATTTACTTAAATATATATTGATAATGATTAAGCAGATGACATACTCATATTTTGAGGCTCTAAACGGCTGACTGAATGAACAACGCATGAGGACAGATATAGACAAACTTGTTATATATTATTTATTACTTTTGCTTTTGTTAGATCTTTAATGAAAGAAATTTTTATAATGAAACAAGTGTAAATAAAGAATTCTTTAAAAGAGTTCTTTAATAATTCCTACTAGTAAAAAATAATGTCTATCTGTATGTCTGTTCGTTACCTTACTACAACTAAACGCTTGAACATGATGTAAAGATAGATTGTATCATGAAGACGATATGTCCACATTCCAGCTTTTGTCATAAAAAAAGTAGACGAAGATGCAGATAACAAACACACATTAATGTTTTAGGGTTCAATTACCCGAGCTCTGGGAGTGCTGAAACCAAAGCACGACCGGACCTCACCTTCAAGTTCGAGTGAGAGTTCGAGCGTACTAAGTTTGTCAACACAACCATACCAGATGTCATACTCGCCGCCTATTGCGGTGAGAACGTTGTCACAACTGAGTATGACGTACGCGCCTCCGCCGACACTGCAAGAGTACGAACCAATATACACACCATTAAGTTTGTACTCGCAGTCTAGTGTTTCTACCAGAGACAGTTTACAAAGACTGAATGAGATTAAGGAAAACTCGGGAATTATGCATAGGTGAGTAAATTACAGTTTACTAGTATTAGCTACGTATTGTCAACAGATAATACATGGACACCATGGGAAGAAATACAAATATAAACATAAAATAACAACAATATATACGACGGTAATTTTGGTATATTTGAATAATTATATAAAACTAATTATGGCAGACGACGAACCTTACCACCACCTCTCGGATTTGGTTTATTATTATTTCCTTCACCAGAGAGTCCGTCCTAAAAATAATTGACACGAAGTTTTACATAAATAATTGTTAAAAAAAACCAATAAACATATTTCTTTACTGTTAAAGAAGCCATTGGTAGAATGAAATATATCTATTACAATTACTGTTCTGATTTTTTATTAACTTCTTCACCATTTTCTGCTGTTATATACCAATATGATAAAGGAATTCTTATCCTATATTTGTGAATTATATATAATTTATTAATGTTTATTAAAAAATATTAATTTAAGTAGATATTAATTCCCTTTATGCTCCGAACATAATTATAACCCTCTCAGCTACCGCCTACACTGTTCATTACAGAAATTTTCCTTTAATCTTCTCCAAGTACAGGAACTTAATAGCTATTCTTTGTCTTAGACAAATTTTTGTCCTACTTAAAAATGTATTGTAAAATAACATTAGTTAAATAGAGGTTACTGATAATAAAGGGTAATTGTCATCTTTACGCACGAACATCACGTCATGATATGGCACGTGCGATACCACTCATGCGTTCTCAATTTAGAGTACTAAAATATCGAGACTGCGTATCCGGTAATTTCACTACCGTATCTTACCATTCGACTGAAACACATCATACAAAGCAAGCTGCTTGTTTTGATAAATAGGCGAAAAATACTTTACCTATGTAGACTACTTTAGTAAATATGATATACTGATGTAGTCAATCTTTATACAATCATAACATGACCCGAAATTCCCCAGATATGGCCAAAAAGCGGATCACGCCCACCGTGTGAGTTCACCCCTACCAGCTAAGTCTGTGGACGACAGTGGTGTCAAACAGAAGCGGCATAGGAGAGTGAAGAGTATCGGTGACATCAACGCCTGCACAAAAACATCAGTCTAGATGTTTTATATTATGACAATTATAATAATTTGGCTCTATATTTACTAATTCAACTAAAGGACTGTATAGGTGATGATTACATAGAACTAGTAAAAGATGAATGACAGTAATACCTCATTATTGCAGACTGAGAACAAATACTAAATATAAAAACAGTAAATTAGAAAGCAATCTATGTACTTACACACAACCTGTAACTACTTTTCTCAGGAACTTAATTTGTAAACCTAACGTCATATATTCTCAATACAAACTCTTTGAGTTACGTTAAAATACGAGTTAGGCATAACTCTAATACCAAAATATGTAAGCTTGTCTCAGGCATCTACAACCATTACAGACCAGGTGGGCGTATTTGTTGCCGTTTACTAATAAAAAAATGTAATAGCAGATATCAATAAAATAAGCGAAGTACCTATATCATAGAGCTAGATGTAGCGAAATTTTTAATGTAATTTTTGTGTATTTTTTACTATTTTTACATGTGTGAAACTACAATAACGCATATCAAAACATTAAAATCAATTCGATAAACCATCGCTATTAGACTGAAATTCATTTTTTATATTATGACTTTGCTTCTATATTTAAAATTCAATAACGGAATAAACGTTATGTTCAGTGTTTCACTAACTGCAGTATTAAATGTAAGTTTTTATACATTTTTAATATAAGTTTTCATCACAATGTAGTATTATATTTTAACGATATTGTAAAACCATTTTGTATTTTATTGCCCAACAACACTGTGATAATAATGTACTCACGCGACTATAATTAACCAGGAGCTTCTGATTGTAATATCGACTATATAATAATTACTATACGAATATTGTAATGAATAATTATGAAACATTCCCAATGAGCTTAACACTATATTAGGGGCCATGCACAATTACGTCCCTTATTGAGGCGAAGGGAGAGTGTCGACAAAGTGTGTCATTATATGACAAGCTGTGAAGAAATCTAAGTTTAAACAAAATTTTATGATGTCACATTTTCAAATATAACTAAGTATTGAAACACAAAATTTGAACTGTTAACGAATAACTTAAAAATATTTCCAACTTCATCTGTTTTTTACGAATTTACACTTGGTTTACTAGTGTGCAGTTTTAAAATATGTGACACAAGAAAGGTGGGAGTCTCATAAATGTCACAACTGTGACAAGAGACAAAAGAATGATATTCGTATGACATCATTTATGCATGGCCTCTTATTACCATTATAAGTATCCTAATTTAATATTTTTCTACACAAAGTTATTTGTATTTTTGTTGTTATTGTTTTATTTAGATTTTAGTTTCGTTATGTGATATATTTTGAGTTACCAATTCTGTAGTTTTTTTTCTATTTCTGAAATAAAATATGTATGATAATATGAATTTTCATTTGTATAGATTAAATATATACAAGCCCTAACTTAAGTTCCTACATGAGAGTCGGGCCGCGGTGCCGGCAAGCAGAACTTATTGAGTTCTAAAGAAATGCGATTTATTTTTCAATTCACAATACTACCCTCTATATAAAAGGCCGTGATCTTTTATACGGTGCGGTGAGGGCCACCAGCTATTTATTTAATAGCTCATTCCAATGGACCTACAAAAGAGGGGCTGATAAAAGAAACTGCCTCAAGTTTTGGTTATATCAATAGAGAAACACATAGGATTTCCTTTGATACCGTTTAAACATAAATATTTTAGTTGGTAGAACGCCTCAGGGATGCGCGCCCTTTCTCTGGTTATCCAATATCATCATGAGTAAAATGGAATTGCTTTCAATTGTTTATATAACCCGTATATCTATTTGAAGTCTATACTTTATTAGAATTAATATTTTCGTGAGTAATGGATATTGAAAAATTATTATGATGGTGTGAAAATTATGGGAATCAAGCAGATGGTAATCTGACATTATTTAACATAATAATAGTAATAATAACGCATGTAATGTTTGTACCGTGTAAGGAATAGAACCCACGATCTTCAGAAATAAGGCGATGTACTAGACCGGGGCCGTCAATACTATAATTAATCATCATCAATATATTGATCTATAGACATAAACAATACAAAGGACAATATTTAAAGTTAAATATTGTTATGCTCTAGTATCCCATTTACGAAGGATTCATAACATCTTAATTTCAAAGACTAGGAGGTCGAGCAAACCAATCATTAACTTAATCTAAAGAAGAATACTTATGGAATATCACTGAATTATTAAGTAGATGAACGTAAAAAATATATATGTTATCAATCATGTATGTAGGTAGCCCTCATGAATGATTGATGATTATATAATACAAGGTATCCAAAGTATTTGAGGTAGTCTAAACACAATATCTAAGATTGAAACTAATCATGCGTGAGGTGAGTCTTGCTCAAATTAAATACATATAATTAATATAAGTCTATTTGACTTTTATACTTCAAACATTTTACTGTTACTTTAAAACCGTAATATCTTTACTTAACTATATGTTAGTAACCTTAGATGTACTAACCAGTATAATGGAAGATCCTTAAAAATTTTATGAACGCAAAGTGTGTCTGTCTGTTAATCTGTTTATTACATTTTAATTATACGACTGAAAGAATCCGATTTTTTATACTTATATCTACATATGATAAAGGGGCGAGTATATAACACGTCCGTTTAGGGTTTTAGACATATGACCAAATTTCATCGAGAACTAAAAAAAACTAAAATATAGAACCAGGTATATAGAAACTAAAGAAAGAATAATAACAATATACCTATATAATATATATTACAAAATGATTAGCGTGTATGGATCGTAATTTTTAGCGCTCTGCTACCATATCGGAGAAACAAGTTAGTCGGTGTAAATTTTCAACGACTAAGTCGTATTTTATATAGATATTTTATATTTCACAACAATATATATTC